CAGACACAGGAGATTGAGACCACGTGAGATTCACAGGAGACCAGTCAAACTACACGACGACCGTTTCCAGAACTACCAGATACTGTTTAGAAGCTATATAATCACAGGCAGAAGAGGAGGAATTCACCCACTCAACCCTGCAATGACGTTGTCACCTCGATTGGTGATGAAACGTTTGCAATCTAACTGCCAAGCTCGGCGAACAGACCAACAACCAAAGAGCGCACCCGAACAACCTAAATTCCACAACATTACTAGGAGTTGCTGAGGCCTCACACAAGCGAATCACTTTTTCCATCGTCCAAGACGCTACTTGAAGACTGTGCAGTCCAGGACGGATAAGGTAGACGGTTGAATGATGGGATGTCAACCATGGTCACGACGTCTCCACCGGCATAGCAACCGGCATGTCGAGCGGCTTCAATACGTGGGTTGTAGCACTAAACTTGGTTCCAGGTGGACCAAATATTTTTGCCCATTCTGGATAGGTCACTCGTAGCTGTGCTGTAAACACTACACCGCAAAAGCTTTGTTGGAGAGTAAAGTATATTTTACTATCATCAGCCCAGTGAAAGCTTGAGTTATTACGTAGCGTTCAAAACTGCCGCCCAATGCGGACATTATGGATTTCAAAATCAAGAATTAACGATTGTGTAGCTCGGAATGTCAATAAAATATGTGGTCCACTCAGTTGGACACAAATACCTACCTCAATAAATTTATTTGAACGAGTCACACGACAATTTTGGAAAAATAACAGTTAGATTGTCAGTTAAACAGAAAAAGGATACGGATCTCAAGCATCTGTCACCCACGAAGGTTACAATAATCAATCTTAAAATTCTGGACACTACCAACGGGTTTGTCCACCTGTTGTGAAAATAACGCGGTGAAAATTTTGCTCCATCATGATCATACGTTTTGGCAATACTGTAGCAGTTTACGCCTTCAGCCAGTTTCGTTTACTTGTTGGTTCATTTATCTGACGATTTTGTATTGTGGCAGCAGTCGAAAACAATTAATGTCAGGCGTTCTCTGAAGCTAGTTCCAAAAAATGATGGTTTATGTCACGTGTTAAATTGAACTCCAACTGTCCGATTTTACCCCATTCGAAAAAATGTTACAACCAAACACATTCTGCTGTGTTGGTCAGTTCTTCGTGGATTGCGGTGACATGTTTCGGAGAGCAGGCAACAGTCCTCGTCAGAAACAAATCACCAATTTTTCAGGCCATAACATTATGAATTACTGTCATGAGGAGAGTGAAGACAAAAAATGAGCCATATCAACAGAGATAGTTCCTTATTATCTTTAAAGATTGCCCCAATTTTCGATAGTGGGTTTATAACTAGGTTTTCGTTGAATGCTTTACTGAGACAGCAACTTCAAAAATGTGAAAGTTTGTTTTTTCGTGAGCTGATTGTTTTTTATCTTCCATGATAGTGCGATTGGATAGAGAAGAACTCTCTGTTTTGGCTAGTCGGTGAGCTTTATTTGACATGGTGGGAAGCTGCTCTGTGGGGATAAAAGGCACGGAAAATGGCACTATCATGTGAACTAGGTTAAACATGCCAAGCAACCTGCGAGCTTTTCAGTGTTCCAACAGTTGGGTTTGAAATGACCCAAAACGCCGTTGGTTGTTTTGGGTTGATTTTTATGGCCATCTAAAATGTATGTACAGGATGCTCGACTGAAACTAAGGTCTTCAACCAAATTCGCATTATATATATTCCCCCTGTGTCTAAGGTGGTCGCTGAACATATCCTGACCATTATAATAAAAGTATTTCAGATACCAGGAAAAAATTCCAATTTATTGATTATAAGCCTATAAAATTTGATAAAAGAACTTTGTATTTGAATTTTTGTGAGAATTCATTATTCCCTTGTAGTTACGCGTTGTATAGGGCGAGCCTGCTGATAGTAATGACGGTTGCATAAAACCTCTCACCTAGCCGCATAACCTGGAGACTTACCGTGTCACACAGAAAAGTTAGTATACACATCCAGACATAACAGGGTACCACGCGTTCTCGTTGACGAGCATATATATGGATCAAGGTGAGGAATTCTTACGAGGGCACATCACACTTTTTTAGATGTGGGCAATATCGGGTTGATTTCTGATCTGGCGGTATCATAGCACAACTTGGTAATTCACTTGCTGCAGCCCACTTGCAATACTAAACATTGTTTGAACTATGTTATAGAATAGACGCACACACACTTGTTTCATCATTACATTGTGATTAACCCTTTTTAAATAAACCTCAGCTGATGTAATCAGTTATCGGTTTTCTTGCGAATGATCAAGCCCTATAGGTATGGGACACAAAAAGCTATCCCCACCCATATGATTGACAACATCAGTGGATGCAAGTCCAAGTAATGTGGCGATCCTTCATATTTGCATTACATTTTCCAAAACGATGGCACCGTAGAAATGTGTTCACGATAAATCCAGCACATTTGCTAAACTACATGACGTCTCCATGTTTCCACCCGTTTTTTTGTCCCATTCATGCCCAGTACATATCAAACGCAGTATGAATTGGTAGTATATGATAATTACTATATGTATTTTATATATCCACACGCAATATAGTCTAGTAACCAGCAAAATGAAAAAGAACTATAGTTCCCGCAAACATTGAAAAGGATCCTTCATGTCCTACAACGGTGTCGTTGTAGATTTAGAGTACAAGCTTTTTAGGCCTAAAGACCCAATATCACACTTTTGCCGTTTACCTTTAGAGTCATTAATCCGGGAGCATGTCTGTCTTTGTTTTGTGTGCCTTGACTGTAACGTTAGACCTTTTGGCGATTGCGGACCAAACATCTGAGCGAAAAATTACTAAGGCACTTAAAACATGATTAAATATGCGCGCTCCCGAATAATTTCGTAAATTTACCATATTACGTTATAGTATTGTTAGACGCCACGTATTTTGTGCGAAATATGTCATGTTAGAAATTTCAAGCACTTGAAATTAATGGAAGAATAAAACAAACATGCCATCACAGGACAGTTTATTGGAAAATTCTCACGATGATGCGCGTTATAAAGCAATGCAAAGTCTTCCTGCCTTTGAAAAATTAATAACAGTATCTCTTGTTTAGCCTGCATTTGTTCCCGCCATATATCCAGTTGTAAGGAGAGCAATGTTGGACATCAACAGAGAAAAAGAATTCGAAGAGGTTAAACTTAGGACGAGGCGTGTCAGGTTCAAGCACTGCGTTGTGAAAAACTGCCGCTTACAGGGAAGCAAGAAGAGGAATAAAAATAGCGAGGAAATTTGGTAAAATTCTGATAGCGGCTCCCGGAAGTGAGTTGCACTTTTCCTGCGTACAGCAGCTGACAACTGTGGCTTTTTCTGCCGTGGCAGTGTACGATGCCTGGCAGGTGCTGCCTTCATCACAGCTCGCATTAACTCCAGTAGGACCTCCACCATTGGATAGAGTGAATTCAATCTGAAAACGGAAATAGGTTCGAAAGAGGACTCTTTGCTGAATAGAGTAAGAAATAAAATGGACGGTTATCCTTTTCAGGGATAAACCACCCAAAATGTAAAATTCGGGAAGTCCGATAGCAATCTTCAGACAAAAGCATGTAAACCAGTTTTACTTAGATCAAATCCGCATATTAGGTCCAGCATACTAGTTTTAATTTATGACTCCCGTCTATAGATAGATAGTAGTAATACATGACATGAACAATTCAGGTGGCTGCCCCAGCCCTTCGTATTTACAGACGCCTTTGCACCAGGCAGCTTGCTCCAAGATTAATACTCGAGGACGTGCGCTTGTCCCACAAAAGTTACTTTAGGGTGACAATCCTGATTAGATGCACATTGAATCACACTTCAAAACTGACTATTTATACCCGGTCGATATCATTTAGTGAGAGGCTTTTGTCCGCTTAATTGCTGTACACGTTGAGACACTCCGTGCAGAAAAACCACAAACCATTCACATAATTATGAAGCTTGCGGTTGACTGCATTGCACAAATAAGGCAAGAATTACTATTTAAATAGGTTTAAGTCGAAGTTAAACAGAATGCAAATAACTCACCTTGCACTTTGTGCAAGTTTTACCTGATGAAACTGTTGTGCCTTCCGCAATAGGGAGCGCGCAGTTTTGGCAAGTATAGCAGTTGACAGCAGATGCTATGCTAACAGCTTCTGAGAAATTGCCACGAAAAAATGATGCAACCCGATATCGTGAACCTACCGCATGCTAGGTAGACGAACGTAAAAACGGCTGAGTACTTCATTCTCTCGGTCAAGCCTGTGGTGTGCAGCTGTCTCGACCATTCTCATTCCAGTCTATTTATATAGTTTTTTGACTTCCAGAATCTACAAATCCACTGAACGTATGTTCAGATGCAAGCAATCTGCATGGATTAATAGTAATATTATAGCAATATTATTGTTAAGGCTGATTCAAGTACCACAGGT